TCCAGACCACAAGGCAGAACTGTGCACTTCACAGTACACGTCTAGAGCAGCCAGCAGCACAGCTACCTCTCCCTCACCACCCACTGTTGTTTGAACTTTCGGGGCACAGCCCAGGCCCCAGGAGGGGAAGGTCCTACCACTTGACTACAAAGTGGTTCTGCTCCATGCACAGGGGATGGATGCAGACCACATGGCACAAAACTGCCGCCATGATACAGAGGAACCTGAGGGAGTTGGTGGGCAGCGGCAACATTGTCTGTGGCTACATGGTCATGGACGCTGGCATCAACTTGCTAGCAGGAGTGAAAGCTTTGTACCTCAAGGACATTGTCTGCCCGGCACACTTGCTTCACCTGGTGATGAAGGATGCTCTGGGGCTGGGAAGCACTGTCAAGGCCACCTGGGATGCTACCACCCTCAAGATGCAATCCTTGCTTGAGATCTGCTAGCGCCTAGCCACCCATTTCTCACACAGCATCACATCTGCCTGTCTGCTGTGCAGGAGGCCGGGGGAGGGGGATGAGCATGAACACTGGCTCATTCAGAGACTTAATCATCTGCTGGAACTCCACCTATACCATGATTGTGCGTTTGGTGGAGCAGAAGAGCATAGTACAAGATGTCATCTCCTCCATGACCATCCTGCATAGGGAAGAGGAGTTCAGCATCAGCTCCAATAACTGGTTGACCCTCTCCCAAATGGTGCGTGTCCTCAAGCCCTTCCAGGGCACCACTGACATGCTCTGCACCCATACAGCCAGCTTGGGGCAAGTCATCCTCAAGGGCTGCACCAGGCACTGGCCTCCAAACTGGAGTCAGGCCCCAAGGGGGTGGCTGTTCTCCCACAGGCCAGAGTCTTAGAGAGGTTGCAAGTGGCCATCACCACCAGAGTCTTAGAGAGGTTGCAAGGAAAGAGAATAAAGGCTGGCCTGGAATGCAGACCTCATACAATGGAAGCATGAGCTCTGCAAAGAATTGTGGAGGGTGCAGGCCAGCAGACGTGGCCAGAGGGAACAGCAGGTGGAAGAGGCTAGGGAAGGAAAAGGAAGAGGACCCGCAGCCCAGCACCTCTGCCTCAAAGATCCCAAGTAGGGAGAAGCCCCGCTACTGATTGTCAGTGGTGAACTGGGAGGTTAGCCGCAGTGGGGATGTCAAGCATGCAATGGTGGAGGATTTAGCAGATGGTGAGGGAGTACCTCGCCGAGTCCCCTGAGCCCACCTCCATGGATCCTGTGGAATACTGGTCATAAAATGCTGTCGTCTGGCTTAACCTATCTTGCTCGCCATGATTCTCGTCTCCTTCTCTCCCACCAGTGTCCAGAGTGAGCAGGTGTTCCCCCACCAAGGAGACATTCTCAGCCCCCACCACTCCCACCTGGACCCAGCCTTCCTCAAGGTCAACCTCCCCCTGCTGGGCTATCCCCTCTGGACCTCACAGGGTAAGATCCAGACCTCCTGTTGTCCCATGTGTGTCCCTCCCCCATTCCTCCTCCTCTTTGGGTGATCCAGCCTGTGGGTTGCGTCATTGACACATGGGTGGGAGGATGGCCACCTTTGCCAGGTGGGGGTGGACTGTCTACTGGGAGACTTCGCTGAGGACACACATTTTATACCCTCCCTCCTGATTGTGAACACCTCTACCCTGGTGGGTTTGGGTATTAGGTGGACTCAGGGCTCTGAGCCACCCTGTCTCTCTGCTGACTCCGAGCACAGGGGCTTAGCTACTGGGTAGGCTGAGGACCCACATTTTATACCCTCCCAACCCTTTCTCGCTGAAATTCCCCCTCTGAGAAAACCCCTGGATACCCCCCTTTCCATTTACCCTCCAAAGAAAATCTTCCTTCCCCCTACACCTACCTCATGAAACAACATCTACCTCCTAACAGGCTCCTCCAAGAAAGGCTCCCCGCACCTAACCCCTTCTCACTGAAATTCCCCCACTGAAAAAAACCCTGGATATCCCCTTTTTCCTTATTTGTAGAATGTGTTCTGCTAATGGTGAATAACCAGAAATTTTACCCAGGGGTGGGCTGACACCAGAGAATCTATGTGTTTGGACCTGAGGGGGCCCGGGAGCATTGTGGGCATGCTTCGCTGGGTTCTAGTACCTGCCAGGGGTCTCTGCAAAGCTGCCATGGGGTTACTTTGGGGAGCCCCTGCTGAATCTCTGGGAATGTCTGCCTATTCTTTTCCTGCAGAACCTGTCTTTGGAGACTTGGGGCTGGCCCTGCCAGCTTGACATGTGTTTTTCCATTCCTTTGCAGAATAGAATACACCCTGGTGGATAGGTGTTCTCTGGACCTGTGTGGGGAGTGGGAGGCTGTGAGGGGGGGGCTGTGAGAGTTGTGGGCATGAAAACAATGGAGGATGTGGGGATTTGTGACGAATTGACCTCCAAAACCCAAGATAGTTAATGCATCAAATTCAGACAGCTGGGAGATTAGGGGTTAATGTCTCACTGTAAAGCACAATTTGATTGACAGGCTGCTGCCTGCATAACCCCCTTGCCCTTACTGTGTACCAATACATTTGAGGGAAAGTTCAGAAAATAGAACTTGAAGCTTAATTTTTGTTTCTTCACAGTCTCCAGAATTGGGTTTAGGTTTGACAGAAGAGACTGGACAGGAGGTTGAAAACTGCCAGTCCAGCCAAACAGAAAAGGATTATTATTCCTAAAAAGAGGAGGATATTTCTTACTCAGTTATTCAGAGGGTTCAGCTCAGAAGGGACCCCTGGTTTGTGTGAAAAGGGAAACTGTCTTAGACTCTTCAAGAGTAAAAAAAGGGAAAGTTATTATCCCACAAGGGAAGTTTTATTTATTTATTAATTTGATTTATACCCTGCCCTGCCTGGCAGGGCAGGCTCAGGAAGAAAGTACTAACATCCAGGAAACTACAATAGTTTTATGAAACTTTATTAAGACACATTGTTGCTGAAAGAAATCTCCAAAACAATTAAACCTCTCACAGTCAAGAACTGAGTCTCTAAGAATATAAGCTTCAATTATACTCTGCTGCCTCTTCAAAATATTATATGTATAAACAACCAAATTTACCTCAACTTCTTGTTCCCTGCCCTATTCCTAACTCAACTGTGCCTGTTCAATAAAATCAACCTTTCTGTTTGAACTTTACTTTGTGTCAAGTGCCATTTCCAAAGGGATTTATAAGAGGGCTCCTGCTGAGTTACAATACATCTCTGGCCTGGGCAAAAGCCAAATAACGTCTCTATCACAGGGTGGGACACAGAGAAAGTTATAATTCTATAATTCAAATACACTGCTAAGAGGCTGCTCAGACAGAGTGTGGAACAGTGTTTTGGTGGGATAATCTGCCTCACAGAAGCAGCAGCAGGGGTCTGTCATAGCACCTTCTTTGGAGGGCTGTAACTCAGACCCTGTAAATCTAATCTGTATGTAGCTTGGAGTGCATGTAGAGGAAGATCAGCTGGAGGTCTGTGGTGAGTTTGGTACCTCTAGCTTGCACAGGATGTGTTCTATACACTCCTAAACCTCTCGAACCTGCACCTAATTTGCCCAGAAAACACTTTCCTGGGGGCACCTTCGTCGGGGGAGGGGGGGGCCACACGGGACTCGGACCCATGTATCCAATATCCAATACTCACCAAAGAGAGTTAGCTGGAGATCCCCTGAGATTTTGGTGTCTCTAAGACGTCATGAACCAAACAAGTTCATTTGGTGCTAAAAAGTTTGTAATGAGTTGTAGTTTATGAACTGGGTACACCATGAACCCAACCAAACCACATTTTCCTGGTTCATGTCCATCCCTATTGGAGAGGTTTGTGCCAACTGGGGTTCTCAAGTGCATGTACATGGGTGTTTAAAGATACAGGTATGTCACCTGAACATTAGGTGTTTGTTACAGCAAATGCTGGTACAAATACCAGGGAATCCACAACAATTGGGTCTGCCATGTCAAGCATATCATCTCAGGGGTGACTCCTGCTGCAATGAACATCTCATTTAAGAAGTAAACTTTCTGACCTCCCATGGTGAATTCCAGAAAGATCTGGTCTTCAGTGTTCCACATCTGGTCCTCCTAGATCACAGAGTTCAAGCTACAAGAACAGATTTTCTGTCTTGCTGTCCACACTCTTTGATGAAGAGTTCATATAGACATGTCAGGTGAAAGAGACCCACATGGTGTGCATTTCATTTAGAAATGCTATTTCAGTTAGAACAGAAAAATGTGGAAGGGAGATAGCCAACCCAGAAGAGGGACAGTGGCTGCGATCACACGTGCCAGTAGATCCAACACAGGCGTGAATGCCCAATGGATCTAAAGGGTGCAATCAGACAGCAACATCTGGGAAGTGGCCCGCAGTCATTGGCAACCCGCACTGCTCCGCCATGGAAGCGTAGTTAAAAGACACCAGGGAAAGGCTGGTAGTAAATGGGTTCCTACGGACTTTCCCCTGACTGATCGCTCAAGTGCGCACTCATGCTGTAGGGATGGTCTGATCAGGCCATCCTGGCTCAGTGCTGTTCCCCCCTTCACAGTACACGCATCATCACATACCCATAGGGGGGCCTCAGTGTGGAGGTGTGATTCCTCGTTTATGTGCATGGGAAACAATTGGCAAAAAACCCTGACTCACCCGTAGTTGCATCTGATCACCCTGTGATGGGCATTGCCCGCAGCTACAAAAGGAGGTGTGATCTTGCAACTGTGGGTCGAATTACTCCAGAGGGAATAGCCTTGCTTCCCCTCTGCTTCAACTGGTGCATGTGACTGCAGCCAGTGAGAAGATTCAAAGAACTCCTTCCCACAAATAAAGAAGAAGAAGAGATTGGATTTATACCCCACCCTTCACTCGTAGTCTCAGAGCATCTTACAATCTCCTTTCCCTTCCCCTCCCCACAACAGACACCCTGTGAGATAGGTGGGGCTGAAAGAGCTCTTTCAAGGACAGCTCTGACAGAACTATAAATATGAATGAACATGTGGTAACACCGGCCTTCTACCCACATTCTCATTTACCTCTCAGTGTAGTTGGTCTGCTTCCGACAGGGGACAGTATTGCGGATGCACACTCCTGTGTTTGGGTCTGTGTTCTCCACAATCACAAAGGGCCTCTCCTCAAGGGTAGCCACTGTGAGGTGACGATTGTCTGCCATAGGTTGCAGGAAAGATCCATAGCGTGGCCACACTGGATAGTTCATCTGGATGATCCCCTTCTCCCATTTTCCCACCTGGACAGTAGTAGAGAATAAGAGATTGTTCAAAGCCATGCAAGAAATGCCCTCCGCTACTGATATATCTTTGTCGTCCAAACTGCATCATGTCAAATGGTAGGTTACTCCTGGAGAATGCTTGTGATGGGGGAAGGAGACTCTAAGAAGAGCCAAATCTCCTTATGGTTTTACAGGTTAAAGAAAACCAGCACTGTGAAATATGTCCTGAAGGCTACAGAAAGCCAGTACAAACCCCGTGGCAACAAAGGCTGCTGCACCAGGCTTTGCCCAATCTGGACAAAAACACTTGCAACTGCCAGACAGTCATAACCAAGAACAATTTGCCACAAAATTCGATAATAATAGGTCAACAGGCAATCGGCAGCAGTTTATATTCAGTCTGTTCTGTCCAGACATGTAAGACATATGTTTTGTTTTTATCCATCTGATTGAATGAAGACAATCTTAGGACTCAAGCTCCTTCTGCAATTGGTTTTTATGAGATATTGCTTTTTTTTGGAGGGGGGGGGAGATTTTGTGGTATTAGCTTTAAACCTGCTGGGTTTTTAAAGTGACACAACAGAAATTGGCTAGATAAAATATTTACAGAGATTGAACATCAACTGGCTGTAACCCCTGGGAGGAAGCATTTGGGTTTAAAATGCAGCAATGGGCAGTGAGATTTTCTTTGATTTTGTAACATTTGCCCAGCACCAGCCACTAGGTGGAATGCATGCAAGCCTGTTGCTAACCCCAGGTCTGCTGCTCCCCATCTGCTACCTCTTTTGTAGCCCTGGATACTGGGAAATTACAGCCAACAGCTGACTCATGCCCTTTCCAGAAAGCTTGTAGGCTGGCATTGGAACTGTTTTTGTGGAAAAACAAGACCTTATTCCTTGTCATGTACATGAACACTTTACTGTGAGATGGACTGAAGTGCCCACTCTACACAAACATGCACTGAAAACAAGGACAGATCTAGCCCTTTTAATCATGCTTTAGCCATCTTCATTATGAATGCATAATGGTGATTAAGGGCTATTATGGGAAACTAATATAAGTGAATGTATAATGAGTGCGAATCAAGATTTCTGCAAGATCAAAACTGCAGAAAGGTCAGGGACATTATATAGCAATAGTATTGTGTTCTGATGTGTTGGAGTGTTCTGAATTAAGAAAATCATTAAAGTCATGATAATTTTACTGAAATTATGTTGTCATTATTTTATTTCATTTTTCACTTATTTATATGTTTATACAGTGTGCCAACAAAAGCTACATCTAATATCGAATGACGAACAGGGCACCAGAATGCAGATCAAAAAAATTTGAACGAGGGGTCGTGTACAGATGGAGGATTTCCCCACAAACTTGGGAAAATCCAAAAACATGAAAAAATGGGGGAGGAGTAAACCCCCCAAAACTGGACTTAGAAGGAGGGGGAAAAAAAGAAATCTTACATCACTGCAGTATAAGATCTCAGCTGCCATAGCAGTGGGGGATAAAAAGAGAAGTCAGCCGCTGAGGGTGGTGTGGTAGCCGGCAAGGGGTGATGCAGATGGGGGTGGTCCAGAGAAGAAGTTGGGCAGACAAATGTAAGGTAGGCAAGTGGTGGCAACTGGATGGTAGCAGCTGCTGTCATGGGGGAAAGGAAGAAAAAAAAATGAGCAGATGGGCAAGGCAGCCAGCAGCAGCTTGGAGACGATAGCTGCAGCCACCCACACCACAGAAAGAATGCTGAAACACAGCAGAGGCTGGGGCAGATGAAGGTGCATGGGGAAAGAAGGTCAGCAATGTGGGATTGTCTCGCAACCAAGGCACCGGAGGCTTGGCTTTGGCAAGGGCAGCATTGGTAGTTGGTTATAGTGGAGAAGTGGCAACAGATGTGGGAAGGAGAGGAAGAAATTTTGAATTTGGGATGGTAGACGAAACAGAAGCGGGGGTAACTCGAGGGGACAGATTAGGGACCGGCATGGTAGAATGGGACTTCCCTCCCTCATGAGTCTCATGGGTCACCTGCTCATAAAATATTAATTCATCCAAGTTGAACTCTTCTCGCTAAAAATCAGGCAAGGGAGTTCAATTTAATGCTGAGATGCGACTGCAAACTTCAAGGATTACAAATAAACAAGGGGACTAATGGTGCAATTGTAAAGAGTTATGCCCTTTTGAGCCCATTATCTTCAATAGGCAGAATGGTGTCATTCTGCTTAAGGCTGCACTGTAAGGTTACTGCTGAGGAGAACTAAGGCCCCGGTCACACGGGGGAGAAAAGCACGGCCAAAGCGCGGCTTTTCTGAGCCGCAGCAAAATAGACGTGCGGTTGCGGGATCAGACAGATCCCCTGAGCCACTGCACAGTTGCTCCCCGGCACAATCAGATGCCGGGGGGGGGGGAAGCCACGGGACGGAGAGCGAGGCAGCCGGCTGCGCATGTGCTGCGGAAGATGGGTGTGCCGGCAATCCCACGGCTGCCCTTGCTGCGGAGCTTCAGGTAGGTAGTACTCTTTTCTAGTTTTTTTTAAACGCACGTTTCCCCCTGGAAAGGACGGATCGGGGACGGGTGCACTCCGCTTCCCAGATGTTGCGGTGTGATCGAGCCCGTTTGATGGGCCCCCGATCCGTCCCTCTTGCTGGGCAAAACCTCCCATGTGACCGGGACTGTTATGTCCGCTGACCGCCACCAGGGGCCAGCGAATACCCCCGAGCTTGACTCTGTAGGAACAATGGGGACTAGGCTCCTAGTCTCTCCACTGAGGAACTAATAGGACCATGGCGGGAGATTTAAACCCACCAACAGGACCTAGTGGAGTGTCCCCCAGGTGTGTATATAGTTGGCCAGCCAGCCGTTAGTCTTTGTCTTTTGTTGTGTACCAGTAAACCATGCTAATCATTACATCAGTCTCAGTGGTTTCTACATGCTTCTAACCCACTACACTTCAATGGCGATGAGGATGGGATCCCGCTGAGCAAGCCAGCCGGGCTCTCGGGACTCTGCGAGGGAAGACAACACACCGCTACCTAAGCTCTTCGAGCGATGAGCAACGAGGGTGAGCAAGCCGGTTCCCAGCCGCAGCAGCAACAGATCAGCACAATGGCCGTTGCTCTGGGGTCAGGGCTTGTACCGCCATTTGATACAGCCCGTCCACAGCAATGGGGAGCCTGGATCACCGGCCTGAAGTCAGTCCTGGTATTCTACCAGGTGACGGAGAAGGCCAGGAAGAAGGGCCTCCTACGCAGGTCATACGGACCCGCCATCGTAGAACTGGCCCAATACCTCCTCTCCCCTAAGAAGCTTGATGACTGCACCTTCGACGAAATCGTCACGACCGTCCAGAACCACTACACACCAAAGCCGTCGGCGATGACATGCCACGTGGTGTTCCACCAACGGAGTCAGCAAACCCGCGAAACTGCTGCGGAGTTCCTTGCTGAGCTCCGCCGCTTGGCCTCCGAGTGCAAATTCGGGGCTCACTTGGACATGGCCCTTTGAGACCATTTCGTCACAGGTCTACGGGAGGAGAAACTGCGGCGACGCATAATGGAGGGTGAGACGGTCACCATAGCGTCGGCCATCGCCACCGCCCTGCGTGAGAAAGGTCCCACCCAGCAGCCTCCACCACGCACAAGGCTGCCATCAACATGCTGGCCGACCCCGATGGCGCAGAGGTCCACCGCACACTAGCACCACGCCGCACCCCAGCAGCAAATGCGAGTTCCGCCCGCAAGCATCCCAGCTCAGCAGCTCAAGAGTGTGCCAGCTCTGGCGACAGGCATGACAGGAAAACGTGCAGGTTCTGAGATGCCAGTTGTCAGAACTGTGGGCGCATCGGCCACATCGCCCGGGTATGTCGCTCCAAAGCTACCAACCGGACCCAGCCACCGCGTCACAGAGCGGAGGCCCACTTCGAGGTCGACGCAGTGGCCGAGGACCTCTACAACCTCACACAGGCACCGGAACAGGTACTGAAACTCCCCGGCAAATCGTCCACCCCTAAGATTCTAGCCACTGTAACAATCGAGGGGTCCCCATGCCTCATGGAAATAGACTCTGGCTCCATGGCCTCAATCATTTCCGAGGCCATGCTAAAGCAATTATGCCCAAAAGGGGGACCCCGCTTGCACCCAGCCCAGGTGACGCTCATGGACTTTCAGCTAAACCGGGTCGGGACTTTTCAAGTACAATACAGTAAATTCAAGAGCCGTCTGGACTTGTTAGTGGTAGAGGGCGACCTGGTCAGCTTACTGGGTCATGCCTGGTTTGAGCCCCTGGGGATTTTGGTTGAGGGAGTGCAGCTATGCACAACCCAGGATTTCCAAGGAATATGCCGGGAGTTTCCCGCCATCTTCAATTACTCTCTGGGCCGGTATTCGGGGGCCCCGGTGTCCCTGTGTCTAGACCCCAAGGTTGCCCCTATCTGAATGCGTGTCAGGACAGTTCCGTTGGCAGTCAAGCCTAAAATCGACGTGGAACTGGAACGCCTAGTAGCTCAAGGCGTCCTAGAGCCGGTTTCCCACGCGGCGTGGGAGACCCCCATAGTAGTGGTAGAAAAGCCAAACGAGGCAGTCCGCATCTGCGTGGACTACAAATGTACGCTGAATAAGGCACTACAGGACCACGCATATCCAGTTCCTGTGGTTAGCCATGTACTGCCCACATTGGGGGGGGGGCAAAGATTTTTGGGAAACTAGCTCTTGCCCAGGCTTACCAGCAGTTTCTAGTAGATGAGGCAACTTCTGAGGCGCAAACTATAGTGACCCACCAGGGGGCGTTCAGGGTCAAGAGACTGCAATTCAGGGTGAGTGTGGCACCGAGGTTATTCCAACAACTGATGGATTTTCCACTCAAAGGAATATCCGGCGTCACCCCGTTTTTTGATGATGTGATGATTGCCACTGCCACGCCAGCTGACTTTGCAGACCGCCTCTGCCCAGTTCTTCGCCGTTTCCAGGACGCCGGACTTAAAGTTAAACTAGAGAAGTGTCGACTGGGGGTGCCGTCCCTGGACTTTCTGGGGTTCACGGTGGATGCAGAGGGCCTGCACCCAACCCGAGACAAAGTGAAGACTATCATGGAGGCCCCGCCTCTGAAGTCTCCCCCTACACTTCAGGGGCCTAAGAAGACCAAATGTGATTTGTGACATCTGGATGTCAATAAACTTAAAATATGAACTACCTGATAAGCCTCTCCAATTTTGTCCAATATAAATTAGGTTTGTAAACATTTAAACTTTAGGTGTTTTTCATTACTGAGACATGAAACATGTGAAATTAGGGTTATCCATTATTTTTCAACATTTCAATGGCATCGAAGGTTAATTTGAGGCAGGCAAACTGGATCATTCAACCTGTACCTTTCGAACTTGCTTTAGATTTTGTTCACAAAAGAAATGCTATTGTTGTTAAGACTACTAAGTGCGTACAAGTGCATCTGACGATCCCAAAATACAATCATATTTTGACTGTGTATATAGGACTATGCTGTCCTTAACTGAACAGTAGTAAAAACTGCCATGATACACAGGAGATCATTTTAACAACTAAAGATGATCATATGATAAATAAATAGCATCAACAGAAAACATTTACAGAAGTAGAAGGGTTTTCTTAATTAACACCAGCATTATTCCACTGAAAGTATTTATCTTTTCCAAAGCAGTTTATGGCAGTCTTCCAAACAGAAGGGGAATCCTGAGCTGATATATTTTATAATACACATTTATAGAATAGGGCCCATGATGCTCTCTCACCCCCAATTAACATATGTGATGAAATGTTTTGCCATCCTAAGTGACTGGCTTGAAAGATGGGGGAAAATTAGCAAGGGCTTTAACAGCCAACTGCAGGGAGAAAGGCACACCATGGAAATTTGCTTAACAAAATAGTATTCAGTTGTATGAATGGACTCCAACACAGCCCAGCTGAGGCTACAGTCCAAATGACTCAGGCAGTCAGAATATTCTAATATGGCCTGATGAATGCATAGCCCCACTGCTTCAACCTTCTGGAACACGCCAAGGTGAATCAACTCTCTTACTACAGAGGGCCACAAATTAACACTGAGTATAGGAAATGTGTGGAACAGACAAAAGCATCAGACCTGGACACTGAATAAGAATTTTCATGTAAATATTATTAATTGAACATTCAACACTTGTGTCAGGATATATATACAATACTCTGTCTTTTGCCCCTTCTACCTGTGAAGTGCAACACTTTGAAAAGCCCCAGTCCCATGCCAGGGGACCAACACTGAATGTGAATTATATTAGGGCAACTCAGTTTGAGTCCATGTCAATAAGGCTTTTTCCATTCATTTTCAAAACCTAAGTATAATTTATTGCCAAGTCATCAGAGTTCTCTGCAAGGTCTTTTAGAACTACATCTCAAAAATATAACTTGTTTAAACTAATTTGCCTTCATATAATTTGGCCAGTTATTAATTTAATTCAATTCCATGCGAGCGAAAGAAATCTACAAAGCGCAAACAAGGACATCTCAATGCACTCGACCAACTGACTTACATGTCGTGTAGTATCTGATATATTACCGAGGCATTGCAAAGTAAATAAATTAGTTGTATAACACTGAATAAATGAATCCAGAATTTCATTTCATGGTGTTTCAATTTGTTTAGGAAATGAAATTAAATCGCCATGCCGATTTGGAAAAAAGCTCCATACACAGCTCTATCAGTCAGCTGAACCGTCACATCAATGGCAAAAGCAGCAAGGCTGATAAACAACTGGAAAGGACAGGCAAAGTGGCAGCTGTGAACCTCCATGCAATTCTGACGTTTAAAACCCAGCTGTTTACTCTCTCCTTCCTTTTAGCTTATCCTCTCTATCCTTGACTATGTGGATACGTGACCCATGAAGCTGCCTTATACCAAGGCAGACCACTGGTCAGTATTGTCTGCTCTGAATAGCAGCACCTCTCCAGGGTCTCACATAGAGATCTTTCCCATCACCTGCAGATGCTGAGGATTGAACTTGGGGCTTTCTTAATGCAATGCAGATGAGCTGCTGAGCCACAGCCACTACCGATAGCATAGGTCACCAAGGATTTCTAAAGTCAGCGAATCTGAGGCTTGCACTATGAAGGCTGCAGTCACACGGAACATTAGCCACGCTACAGGGACGGAAAATAGGTGGATTTTCCGGGCGTGATCACACCACCACATCTGGGAAGCGTAGAGCTCCCGTGCTGAACCTGAGGCTTCCCGCCAAAGATGCGGGGTAAAAAACTAGTACCTCCAAGGTACTAGTTTCCGGAAACTGCGGGGCAAGGGCGGGTGCCTGATCGCATTTCCGTCTGTCGCCCTCTCTGGTAAGTCCACCACCCGCCTTCGGATGTGCAGATACGATTGCTCAGTTTCGAAAAAAAATCCATCCCATTTGCCATGGAAGCGGCGCCTAGCGATTGCTGGTGTGATCGCGCCGCACCGCTTCTTTGCCGCGCTGCAGGATCATTGTGTGATCGGCACCTGCCCCCTAACCACAGGACCTCCACGGGACCTCAAAGGGACGTCTGATCACGCAACCACGCTCCCCCCCCCATTTTCCGGCCCGTATGACCAGGGCCGAAGAATCACAACTGCAGATTGAGGAAGAAGCATTCTAGCATGATCTCACACTTGTACACATAGAAAAGACAATGAAAAGAGAGAGCGAAGAGCCCTTACCATCTTCCAGAGCCGATGCCGGTTCAGCGAAATCACCACCATGGTAGGCCTGATCAAGTAGCCGCCTTCATTGAAGGAGAAATCTCTCTGCTCCCAAGTCACGTTGAGCAAATGCCTGTTGAGAGGAAATGAAAAGGACTGCTGAAGGGAAAGTGGTATTCGTTTGATTGCCTGGGTTCTCGAGTATAATATACTCAGCTCTTCCTTTGACAGGCAAGTGCTTCTCATCAGTCTCTCCCATGAGGATGTGAGTTTCATAATTTCACAGTAAGACTGCTAAGATGCTTTTTACCTCTACTTTTCCCAGGGAAGGGGATGGTGAATAGGAAAATATTTCATGGAAGATGTACCCCCTAACTGTTGGTAGGAGTGGGTGCTGTTCTCAGGAAGCAAACAGGGAGTTATCCTCATAACAACTCTGCAAGGTAGGCTAGTCTGAGAAAAAGTGACTGGCCCAAGGTCAAAGTCTGAGTCCAGTGGTGCCTTTAAGACCCACAAAGTTTAATTCTGGGTATAAGCTTTCTTGTGCAAGCACCAAGGTCAGTAAGGGATTTGGAGCCAGCACTTTCTCTACTGCATCATACCGACAGTACACTCTTTTAAAAGTACCATAGTTCTGCTTGTGCTGATCCTGCTAGCTCAGCGGTCTTCAGCCTTTCCGGACCAAGGACCCACTTATCTGAATGTCCATGACATCAGGGACACATGATTGAAAGAGGGGAGCCAGAGTTACAACCTCATTGGTATCAAGACCAGCACTGTGGTCAGTGGACCAGGACAAGCAGCATAAACCAAGTATCAGGAGGTGTACCTCACCACAACGGTACCTGGCTAAAGCATATGAAATGGCATTCACCAAAAACCTTTCCAGAACTTTAAGCCCCTTTGCCAGCTTCTGTTGCCCAAGCTCATCGGCAAACAATTTCCAGAATATGGGGATTATGTAATTAAGACACACTAGTTTCTGTAAACCAGACTACAAGATAAGGTAGAATCCCACAAGTGATTTCCGCAAATGGAGTGGGAAGGCCATTTTCACTGATTTCCCCATCCTCTAACTCCTTCCATGCTTTTTCTGGAGTCCCCTGTACCCCAGGAGCACCACTGGAGTGGCATATTGGGTCTGCAGTGAGAGGGGGAGGCAAAGAAGGTCCATTCTGCTGGTGGAAATCCTTTCTGTTGAAAGAAGTGTTCCATGATATCCCAAGCAATATTTTGAGTTCTTTAAAACTTCCCCCCAACTTTTGGATAGGTGGGGTGCTTTCTCTGCTGGCTGCTTTCTCCTCAAAATTCCTTGTCTTCCCCCCCCCCCCCCCGTTTTCCCCTTTATAGGAGACAAGATACAGGGACATATATCCTGACCCCTTGAAAGGACAGAAGCAAGTTAGAAAGCATGTTTGAGAGGAAAAACTACAGGTAGGGGAAAAATTAATCACCCTTTGTCTACCTGTGTTTCCTCTACTACAGACTGCAGTCTCCAGTGACCGCTGTCCTTTAAAAAAAAAAACTGCGAACTTTATTTATTTATTATTATTTATTACTTTCGGCTTCTACCCCGCTCGAACCCCACATGAATGATACACAATTTGACCATGTGATGCACAGCAAAGTAATATGGATATCCGACATCCTTTGGCTTCTCCAATCCCAGTGTTCATGCACTCATGAATAGATAGGTTAGAGTAGAAGTAGTCTTCTAGTGTGGATTTTGTGCCTTCCACCTCACTGAGTGGTGAAGTGCCTCCTTCAAAATGTGAACACCAAATATATGTCAGGTTCTATAGTCAGATCACACCAGACAGCACTTCATAAGAAGTATTCTGTTTATTGGAAGTTCATAACTAGGACACTTGAATGTTTTTTGTCAGGAATGACCCAAAGCAGCAGGGTGCCCAAAGTTATAGTAGTTTCAAAGCACACACCCCCCCCCATTACAAGCATAAGACAATAAGCATTGTGCATGGCTCCGCATGCGCAGGAGAAAAGTGAGCCATTCGTTCCCAGCAGGTCAGGAGCAGCTGGAAGCCCAAGGTCAGAAAAGCATACACAGATAACAACCCAGGCAGGAGACATCGTTTGTGTACCAGGAAGGAGGATCACTCCCCACACATTCCAAAGGCATGGCAGTGTTAACTGACATCCTGCCCCCCTAAAACCCTTCACCCTGGTTTCTGTGGGAAATGAAGATGAAACTTGCGCAAAAGCCGAGGGGCTTTAATGTGGTCCACCTTCACCCATTCACGATGTTGAGGTCCAAAGTCAACCCATTCCACCAAACAGTACAACTTATTACGTTTAAGCTTAGAGTCCAATATATTAGCAACTTCAAAATGCGGTTTGCAATATATCCAATATATCAGCAACTTCAAAATGCGGTTTCCATTGGAGAGGTGGCTGTGCTCGTTGAGGTCTCCAAACATTTGGCCCAGGATCACGTTTTAAGAGGCTGAAATGGAAAATTGGATGTAAAAACTTCAATTTTTTGGGCAAGTCCAGTTCAACAGTTACATCATCGATCTTATGCAACACCTGAAAAGGCCCTATGAACTTCCACCCCAATTTACGAGTAAGGTGAAGACCCCGGATGTTCTTAGTGGAAACATAGACAGATTCCCCTGGCTGGACATTCCCACCCTCAGACCATTTTTTTAAAATCAGCTTGCAGTTTATAAGCGTCTTTTGCCTTATCCAAAGTTTTACACAGAAGTGGCCAGGCGTCCTGCAAACCCTGGCACCAGTCCTCCACATCCCCAACAGGCAGGGAAGCATCCGTCAAGAAAGGGAGGGGCAGGGCCTCATATCCATAGAGGGCCATGAACAGGGAGACCTCCGTAGATGAGTGGCACGCATTGTTATAACAAAATTCAGCAAAAGAGAGAAGCCCCTCCCAGTCATCCTGTTGATAGTTTGTAAAACAACAGAGGTACTGTTCCAGGGTCTGATTCACCCATTCCGTTTGTCCGTCAGTTTCTGGGTGGTAAGCACTGCTCAGGCCCTGCTCTACCCCCCAAAAATCCATGAGCTCCTTCCAGAACTTAGAAACAAACTGAGTTCCGCGGTCGGAGATTATCTTGCGGGGCAAAGTATGCAGTCTGAAAACATGCTGGAGAAATGCTTTGGCCAGGATGCGGGCCATAGGCATAGTCTTAAACAGGACGAAATGGGCTTGCTCAGTAAAAAGATCCACAATTACCCATATAATCGTTTTCCCCCTACTGGGGGACAAGTCAGTGATAAAATCCATGGAGATCACCTCCCATGGTCGTCCCAGGGTGGGTGAACAAATAAGGAAAGATCCTTCCTCATCCTGGGCCATCAGAATTGGCACTGTAGTAAATGCAACGATTTCACAAAGCCCAGGTGCCCTGCCGGTTTGCTGCCATGCACTACAGACATAACCTCCCCCCCGCAAGACAGCCAGAACAAACAGTTTGTGTCCATGATACCAACAGCCATTTGCCCTCTCTTCAACCTCCCCCTCCCTTTCCAGCTTCTTCCGATCAGCGTCCAAGAGGGTGGTGTTGAACTTCATTTCCCAACTCCCCTCTACAATAGGGGGCGAGGCTTTCGCCTGGCTGCGAGTTAAGACACCCCCCCCCAACTGGCAGGGAGTGAACATTGATTCCAGCATGCCCTGATGCTGACTGTCGTGTTGAGGTAGGCGGGACAATGCATCCACCAGCGAGTTAGCTTTGCCTGGGAAATGGTGGAGGGTGAAATTGAACTTGGAAAAGAAATCCGCCCACCGCAACTGCTTAGCGTTAAGGTTGCAGGGCGTCCGCAATACCTCCAAGTTCTTATGACCGGTCCAGACTTCAAAAGGCACCCATGCCCCCTCCAACCAGTGGCGCCAGGTCGAGGGGGCCAACTTAATCACCCCTGCTTCCTTGTCCCACACCGACCAATTGCACTCAGTGTAATTGAACTTATGGGAGACATAGGCAAGGAGGTGCAATCTCCCATCCCCCCCTTCTTGCAAGATGGCACCACCCATGGCAACATCTGACGCATCAACTTGCACAATAAATTTTTTATTTTCGTCGGGGTGTGCTAAAATGGGTTCAGACGTGAACAGAGCCTTCAAACGATCTAACGCCTCCTGGCATTCGACTGACCACGTCAGCTTGGCACCCAGCCGAGTACTCTCGGGCCCCTTTCCTTTTGTTTTTAATAAATCCGTGAGCGGTAAGCTCACCTGAGCAAAATTGTTGAGAAGAATTCTGTAAAAATTGGTGAATCCAAGGAATGCTTGGAGCTGCCTCCGGATGCCAGGCGGCTCCCAGCACCAGGGGGAATCACGCTGCTTGGGTGGTTACAAATGGTCAGTGTTCCCAATGGCCTCCCGCCCCAACCTGTAAAGGCACAGTCTTGCACTTGCAAGGTTCGTTCATAGCCAATCCATCCATCTGGGTAAAAACAATGGGATCCTGGAGTTTCACTACCTTAGCTCCCAGCCCCATAACCAGGGAAGGGTTGATTAAGTCCCATCCACACCAAGAGTCTATCAAACCACGTACCTGGACATGAGTCCCGAGTTCAGGATTCATTATAGTCACAGTTACAAAGAAGGGGGGCTAATTGCTCAGCGTCTTAGGTGCCTCGGGAGTAGGAACCTGCTGCTCTGCAGGTCCTGCCCTTTTCCCGCCAGCTCATCTTCTTCATCGCTACTCATGAGAAGCTCCTCCGCAGGAACGTCAGCTTGCAGCACCCGTTGGAACTTCGGCCGGGCCACACTCTTCTGTGTTGGGGTGTCCACCCACTTCTTCTCTGGCTCCTTCCTGGGTACCGTCAGGGCTCCCCCACCCGGGCAGGCGGTGGCAAAGTGACCCACTTCACCACATCTCAGGCACAAACCTTGCTTCATGTGCTGGTCCTGCAAGCCCTCTTTGGGTTTAGGGGTCTTGGGTTTGACCGTTGGCGGGCCGACCTTTTCCAGGGTGGCTGCGTTGTCTATGCAGATGGTCCTCAGGCGGTTCTCTGCATCGGCTGCTTCCCGCATCCACCCATGGAGGGACACCGGTTGAACACTACGCCGCACTGTCTCTCAAATGTCAGGGTGCAGACCTAGCTGGTACTGCTCCGCCATCACACCATCTAGCCAGCCCTGGATCTTCA